TGTCTTCCACGAGCTGGGGTCGCGGAGAAAATTGCTCCCTTTGCCGCCATGATCTTATAACTATCTACCCTAATTCAAGCTGATTGGCGCGGCTCGATGAATTAACATTTTAAAACTCTAGAACCAGGGTACCTTTTGTCACTCTGAGGCCAGCGAAATAACCTCTTCCGCAACATGCATGTACACATCTACTATCGTCAAGAAACAATCAATACGTATAATTGTTGTGGTCTGTGGGATTTTAATTCAATAGTGTAAACCTGACAGTTTTAGGGAAGCCACACATATCGATTTTTTCCACAAGAAGTCATATGTTCATTTTGGGGGTGGGGGAGGGGGGTTTACAGCTGTGACGTTTCTCTGTAAATATCATGGAAAAGTTCGATAGTTTTTTCGAATACCTTAACATTTCGGAATCAACTGTGCAGAGTATAAAAAAGAAAACAACTTGAAAGAAAACGACTATTCAAATATAAGGGCTGGTAAACTAAAAATAAAAACTCCTTATATGGATAAACATTATAAACGTTCATTTCACATGTACACGCACGCTAACAGCTGCTTAATAATTAACTTACGTATTTGTAAACATCAGTTGATAAATAAAATGGTACATTAATATGGACAAAATGGATCAAAACCTCTGAAAACAGCGGGTTGTAGTTCCAATTCTTTTGGGGAATTTAGTAGCAAATATAATCCTTAAATAGCTCATCGATTTGTACATGTTGAATAATGATCTGAAGTTATCATGCAAGCGTCAACAATGTCTCAAAATACTGGATGTTTGATGATTTTTTTTACAAATATACCGGGATTTCTGGACCACTTTTAAACTTAGCAAAGTGAAAAGTCCCCATTCAAGAATATGTTTTTTCTCAAAAGGTAAAATACTTAGAATACTTGATTAAATTGTTTACTTTGACAGTGTATAAATTAACAGCGTTTGACTTGCAAGATGTCAAAAACGGAAGATTTCAACGTGCTGTCGTTTATTCATTTGCCAAAAGAAGTATTTACGTCAATTGAAAGCTTGTTTATTAAAGAGCCAACTAGTAGAAGCATGATCGATTTGGAGCTTTATCGCATTGTGAAAATCGATTTTGTTAAGAGGATATCGTAAATGAAGTAAGATAGCGTGCTCCAAAACTACGATTATTTCTATTCCTAAAAGTAACTCAGATTTCCTGTAAGTCATGTACACAGTCCTTTGAATAACCGAAAACAAGATTTTTAGGGTTTTAGATCGATTAGAAACGGTTGTCGTTGTGAAATTTATCTGTAAAATCAGCACATATTTTCCCTAGAAAAAATGGCAATTTAGGGTGGTTGTGTTAAAACGGCATTTTCTCAAAGTTAAAAAAGCATTTGACCTAAAAAAATAGATGGTGCATTTTCCGATATAATAAGGTATAATTAAAAATATAAACGTTCTCTGACTAAAACCCGTCGAAGACTACAGTTAGGTAGTCGAAAGCTCGTTTTTAAATAAAAATTTTAGTCAGAGAACGTTTATATTTTTAATTATGTCTAAACCTGGCTACGCTATCTCCATATATAATAAGGTGTATCTGGGCAAAATTTGAGCAAAATCGATTTTTCAGTTGTGGCCACTTTATGTTTGATTTTTGTGGACATCCTCTCTTAATGTGTTTTTAATGCATAGTGCTTCAGCAGTTGGTATATATAGAGCTCAGAGGAAACATATAAATTATAGCATCTGACCAATGAGAATTTTGCATCACAATTTGAGATGCAGATATTCAAATTCATTAGTTGTCGATTCAGGCTCTCAATTCAGCTCGAGAGCCTGTTCACAGGCTAAATTTGCAAAGGTCTTTCATGGTTTGAGGTAAAAACGGTTTGGTAATAGAATAGATACCTGTTGCCAGATGGCACTTTATTATTTTCATGTTATCTAATGCCAGATTTGCTTGCCTGACAATTTTACTTGTTGAAGGGAGCACCCATCCCTAGAAACTATATGGGTGAAGGGCTACATAATGTGAACAATGCCATTTGCTTCAAGTTGGGAACCTCTATACTGTTGAGCAAGGGATGGGAGTGTCAGATTGGTGCCAGTATTGTGCAAGGATCAAACAAAATATGTTCATGTGGAAAACTTAATTGATTTTGAAATACTTGTTTGACCCTTATTTTTCTCATTTAACTTAAGTTCTGTCAATTATACAGCTAAATGAATTAAGGTTGTCCTCAACAAAGCTAAAAGGCAAGTGAAAAAAGCTGAAAGGTCAAAGGCAAGTGCAAAAAGTATGATTTCATTCAAAGTATTAACTGAATGTCTTCCATATGACTCGTCCTTCCTACTATAATTTTCACGCTTTGCTTTGACATTTCAGCTAGCTTTGGCCTTTTAGCTCTGTAGAGGACTGGGCCATTTATTCAGATGTATAATTGTATTAACATGTACAATTATTTAATACAAACAACAAAAGTTACTAATATTTATTTATTTATAGTTGTTCTGTCTTGACCACCTACCGGATGATGGCCCTCAGAAAGATATAAGGACTTGCAACTTTCGTGAACTTGTCAGTATAAAGGAAGAAGACTTGAAGGAGATTCAAAAACGGTACAGGATCCTGGTAGCTAGAATCCTGATCAAGAAGTTTCCAGAGTTTTCACACCTTAAATTCTACCTATCTGAGGAACTTCTCCTTCATCGTGACAATTCTGCTACAGCGTCTTCTAAATCAGAAATTATCACCATGCCAGTATTAATGAAGGATGAGAAGAAATACAGTGATTGTGTTCATGTGTTGGATCAGTTTGGAAGAATGGACACAAGACATATACAAGGCAAGTGGTATGTGCAAAGGTCAGCCAGACCAACCCTCTGTTTCCCCACCCTTGGTAGAAGTTTCAACACGGCCAGATCAACCTAGATCCCATATCCCACCTGCAGCATCAGATTTTG